GATAGATAGATAGATAGATAGATAGATAGATAGATAGATAGATAGATAGATAGATTGATAGATAGATAGATAGATAGATAGATAGATAGATAGATAGATAGAGTGAATGAGTGAGTGTAAGTTTGTTTGCGTATGCATATATTATAGGTTTTAATCATACCGCAGCAATTTTGTTTTTGAAGAGATCATTGAAATGTTATTTTATCTTATTATATCTTACCGGTTGATCGAGACGCTGACATAACGAATACAGGAAAATTAAATCCTGTTACGAAAAAAAAAACAACAGTAAAAGATATGTGCAGTTTTGTGTTAAAAATAAGATTTATATCGCGGTTGAGCTATTCTATTAGTCAATCGCGGCCGACACGAATACTTATAATATCATTATTCCGTTATAGATACGAAAACAATTTTTTTTTTAAGTTCACCGTCTTTTCTTTTGGGTTGAACAATTAAGCTTGTGTTTTCTGATTCCGTTACTTGTAATGTTTTATAATAGTCTCTGTTATACCTTTTTAAAGCAATCTAAGACGACTGATTGAGACATGATTCAGCAGACAGTAAGACACTGGCATTGTTGAATTGTTTAAAAATGATCTGAACAAAAACTTGGACATTCCGGAGAACTCTTCAGGAAATTTTCTGTGTGACGTCAGTGATTAACGTGTATTTCTTGAGTAAGACACGTAGTTTGGCGTGACGTACTGAGGTGACGTCATACACAAATTTTAATTCTTGAACACAAACACAAGACAACGACAACAACATTGACAGTCATGTCGATGAACGCGCACCCTGTGAACCATCAGCTCCACCGGCGAGTGGACGAATTGCCCCCAATCTGGAAAAACCGACTGGACAGAGGTATCCACCTACGCCTGTACCGTAACGGTGACCACAACTACCCGGGCAAGTCTGTCATCCTCAACAAGAAGCAGTTCAGGACGTTCGAGTCGTGGCTCTCCGAGCTGTCAAACTCCATGCGCCTGCGCAACGGCGCCATCTGGCGGGTATACACGCCCACTCACGGGACCAGGAAGGATGACTTCAATGATATAGAGGAGGGACAGAGCCTTGTGGTGGCGGGCCAGGAGCGCTTCAAGCCCCTCAGGTAAACATAGGTTTTGGGTGACTCTCGCTCTTAGGATAAACTACAAGATTATGTGGTCGCTTTTAAGCACAAGAGGGCAATCCCGAAAAATGCTGTTTAGAGAAAATCGAAAGTAAAGTGCTTGCCCCTTGTTCAGTTTCTTTAAAAAACAAGTAGAGTTATCTCTATAACCAAACAAATATCCACACCAATGAAACCAAACTTCTCCTGTAGGTAGGGCAATGCTCACTTTTGTTGTAGGTCAAGATTTCTGGAAACTCCGAAATCTGGGTTAGCCCGATTGTCGTTAATAAAAGCGACCATATTAGAATGCAAGAGTATGGTGTAACGCTCACTTTTATAATAGCATAGAAAATTACGGTAACATTCACTCTTATGATAGAAAGCACAATTATGATAGAATACAAGATTATGGTAACTCTTGCTCTTATGATAGAATACAAAAGTGTGGTAACACACCTTCTAATGGTAAGTTATCATAATGCAACACACGTTCTAATAATAAAATTCTTATTGCGACATCATACTCTAATAGCAACGCAAGATTATTGTAACACTCGCGCTTATGACAGAATACTAGGCTACTGCAATACATATTCGTATGGTAAAATACTCATTAAAGTATTAAACATACTTTAATGGCAATACACGATTATGGTAACACACGCTGTTTTGATAAAGTACTCATTATGGTTACCAAGCTATTATACAAAATACTCTTTACAGTATTTACAGTAATACACGCTCTTATACTGAAATACACAATGTACTTAATAACA